TAAATTATCATTCCAATGTTTGTCAAATTCTAAAATTTCCAATTTAATTTGATAAGTTCCCATCTAAATATGAGCTTTCCCTTCCAACTACATCTATTTGTTCAAGATGGAATGAAGGTCTGGACGAGTTTATGAAATGTTTTCATTAGACTTTCATTCTACTACAACAAATATCATCTAATTTAGATTGGATTAACCTATTTATGATTGAAAATCCTTACTTAGACTAGTTGTCCAATTAAAATATTTGATGAACTCGTCCAGACTTTCATTCCATCTCTAGCATGCAGTTCAAATAAGAAGGGATACCCCATTATTGGAAGGAAAGTTTTCAAGTAAGACAAAAAAATTTAAAATTAGAATGACATTTTTTAAGATGGAATGAAAAATTAAAATTTATAATGTAATTTTACTCTAGAATGATTATTTAATTCTGGGAATTTTTTTCTGTTGTAGCTCGGAGGGGATACGCCTACCGAAGGGAGGTGACAGCTCCCGTAAGGTGGATGTAAGTCGCGCCTCGCGTAGTGCCTATCCTGACGTAGGGGCTCGCGAGATGTATGGTTGGCGCACACAGCCGGAGCGGCTGGCGGAAGGTCAATATGTATTCGTGATGCTGATGAAGACCAATGCGCTCAACAGCGTCACGAACCCCAAAAATTGGACGCTCTAAGCGGGTCATTAATTTCTGCGAGCAAACGTAGAGGACGAAATTTTAAACTACGAATGAATTCCCAGTTACTCGTTGACAAATCCCTTGTATAAGACTCTGAGGACCTTGCCCGCACTGAGCCTAACAAATGCGATGCATCGCGCAGTTCCCACTCGCGGAGATGTGAATCTCGGCAATTGTGGTGCATCTTTATCCGTCAACACGGCAGTTGAGCGTGAAATGAAATCAATGCGCAGGGGTAAAAGCGAGCGATACAAGATTGGGTTACTACGTACCCGCTGCGCTTGAGATATCGAGAGAGAGAAAGAGAGAGAGAGAGAGAGAGAGAGAGAGAGAGAGAGAGAGAGAGAGAGAGAGAGAGAGAGAGAGAGAGAGAGAGAGAGAGA